CACTGCGTTATGAAGTGGGTGTCGTAATTGCAGACGCTTCATTAAAACAAACCGTGTGGAAGTCTGTCTAGAGATGCTTACCATATATTTCCAGGAGATTGGATTAGGAGTTCTGTCCCGATATCGAAGTCCATTTTTGTCAAATTTCTTGACAGCGTTGGCGGTGAAATTGTCGACAGTTCTTGTTGGCGGGGACAACGGACGCTATTCGGCCATGTGTGGCGGTCGTCTATCGATCGTTGGGTGTAGAATGTAGATTTTCGGAAATCGAAATTTAACAGTATTGACAGTACATCTTACTTAATTTTTGAAACCGTTGTTAATTATTATAATATCTATAATTATACTATTATGGTATGATAAAAATTATTAATTAATAAATAAACTGAAATCTGAATACCGATTACCGATCGATAATAAACAAACATCGGCGGCGGCGCGGTGCTCGGATGATAAGAAGTCGTTAAAAAACAGGAAGGTACAACAACTGAACAACAGAATTAGGAACAATTACGTTACCAGTTTACCACTGAAGACCGCGGTTATCGAATAATACAGAAACGACAGTATCCCCTCCACTTTGGTTTTTTTTTATTTCAGTGCGGCAAGGTTTGTTGCTTAGATCATAGATAGAGACTGGATAGAGTTATAGCGTATATCACGCGTAGTCCGTGTTTGAAGCAGACCTGTTCATGCCCGAAGTACTTATTGCGCATGCGTGAGAAATGAAATAGATCGCGCGGGACGGGGAAGGAACAATAATGTGTTCAGTTGTAGTGATAAGGACGATTAGGTACTGAATGTTATGCTTAGAGCATATACTGTGCTCATGCGCAGTGATGACTTCGGGCACGAACAGCTATGCTTCAAGATTTTAAACCTTAGCTCTATCCAGTGTATATGATCTAAGGTTTGTTGTAATTTTGTACACAATGTAGACCCTGTCATGGTGAGGAATCACCTTTTGTTCCACATATTTTTTTTTCAAGTCCATTTATTATTTGATGATATTAATTTCTTAATGTTACATTTGTTACTATTTGCCACGATTTAAGATACACACACTGCAGCGGTGGCGGTAAAATTATTTTGTCTCGGCGGGGGCGGTAAATTGAATCCGGACCCATTTTAACGCCACCTCTACCGCCGCAGTGTAGGGAGTAGGAGGGACCTTTAAGTCTTAAGATAGTGCATTGTGTTATTTACTTTTAAGACAATGACTATGCGTATTTGTCAATATAAATTTGATTCTATATTTCTATGAATATTTCTTCCAGTTAAAATATATTTTTATTTTTCACATTATTTATGTTCAATGAATGTTGTGTTGTGTAGTTTATTTGTTCCACAGAATATTCATAATATAAAACATTTGGAACAAATGTTCATTCGCACATAATATACTTGGAGTAAAGACCAATTAGAAAATAAAAGCTCAGAAAAACATATTAACTCACAGATATGTAAACATATTATTTGAATGCTTATAAAAACGTGTCAATACATCTTAAATATTTTAAAATTACAATAATAACAACTTGTGAGGAATACTGTATTACATTTTTAAGCTTTTTGACCTAGCGAAATATATTTGATCGATATTTAATGAAAAATACAAAAAAAAAATTTTAAAGTCAAATGTCTAAAAATAGTCTAAGAAGAATCAACATTTTTAATAACCTAACTCTAACATTTTACCATGTTTCTAAAATACTATTTAACATTTGGTGAACATGTAAAGTATCTATGGACTATGGTTACACACTTATATGTTATTGGATTACAACTGAGAAGAAAATCGTTATTTTTCGAAATGAAACCAGTTTCGTCAACTTTTTTACTTCAGACGATCATGAAAAATATATGTTGATTTACACTCAACAATGACAATTACAACTTATTAGGGACCTTGTATTACTTTTTCAAATGAATATATTAAGCAATTAATGCATTTTTAAATACTAAATAATTTGAAAATATTCACAATTTTCTTCAAAATTGTAACTAACTCTTCCTTATAAAAATATTGTAAATATGATGTAATAAATTGAGAAAATATGAACAACTTAGTGTAACCTTGAATTACATATTTAAGGTTTTTGACCCGACAAACATTTTTTTATCGACATTTATAGAAAAAAAACGAAAATGTCAAATGCCTATTTATATAGATAGTCTATATTTAGCTCAAAAACATCAATCAATTTTATCAAAAACTTATTTATTATTAAATTTTAAACGGGTGTAAATCCAAATATTAATAGAATATCTTTAATATCTATGAAATATGAATAGGTAAACGACGTAGCCTCTAGGTATTATTATTATCTTTTGTTATTCATAATCGATTTTGTGAAAAGCCGTGTTTGCGTTTAAGGTTATGTAGGTCCAAGACTCACGATTTTATTTTTGTAACATTATGGTGTAAATTGTGATAACGATTAACGAGTAACGATGACCGTACCACACATAGACCTATTAATAGGTCTATGGTACCACAGAATAGATAATTTAATCTATTCCGTGCTACGACCGCGGACCGCTGCTCCAGTCGGTTGTTTATGAAGGGGTCTTTTGCTAAAACCGGAATCGGATTTATATTATTTTATTATATTATCATTTATCATCGTCCGATCGTCCTTTGATCTTTATAACTTATTAGAACAACTCAAGTAACAACGGTTGTGTTCTTGTGTCTGATAATTCGTTTTCTGGTCAACGTCAGTTTATTACATGAATTAAGATATATCTTAATTCATGGTTTATTACTACCTAATACTCATAGTCTATAACAATAAATTATTAATTAGTCGAATTTTGTTTTCTTATGTTTTTAGGTTTCAATAAATATAAAATAAACCGAATAAAAATCAGAAATGTTGGTTAGATGCTCAACTGTTTATCATTTAATATTCTGAGACCGCTGCTTAAGAAGCTAGAGTATTGGTCAAAAATCTGTTTTTCCAAATTTATTTAAAATGGTACGTTTATGATTTATCTTTTTCTATCCCAACAAGTTCTGCATCTAGCGAAAAAACAGTAAACAGTTCCAGCAATGCGTAAAACTTATTTAGGCTTTAGGGTCAACTCATGTTACTAAATCGATTTGCTAAGTTACCTATTATAGCTATTGAAAGAGATTTATCATAAGTTCTAAATAAAGACAATTAAAAAAAATTCCAATACTGAATAGAGGCTTAAACTGTAAAGACTAGTGCATTATTATTATGTTACATTGTTACCCATATTAATTATTTAACTTTCACTTACATATATTACAAGAAAATTAAAATTTGAATTTGTAGCCAAAATAATATGCTTATTTTAATAATTTAATAATATTTACCTATGGGCGCCCATTGGGGGGGGGGAGGGCAAGACAGGGCACTTGCCCTCCCTGTAAAAATATATTATGAACTTGTAGCTCAATAAATATTACCACAATATTACCTTATTATTGAAATTTTTTATTTTGACTCCCCTTAAAATGTTATCTATGGGCACCGATGTATTTACCTCATTCCACTTTTTTAATGGTTCGTACACACTATAATAATCGAATAATATATTAAATGAATAATTACATTTACATTCAGTAATATGTTCGGGGGGTGTGGTGAGTGGTGACGAAGCAGAACTCCCCCCCCCCACCACTTTTTATCTAATTATAAAAATGGATGGGCTGAAGCCCTAACTAAATTGCAGGTCTAGTTACGCCTATGATTATATATTTATAAGTCTAACCTGAGGAAATGAAAATTGTATACGATGTGATTGTATCATACGATTATTATTTAGCAGAGCTTTGAATGCACGATGGATAAGGTTTGACGTGTCTATTGGAGCAATATACACAGCAATAGCACACGTCAAATAGGTAGGTACTCCGTTGCATTCCACGTGTTAAAAATTTTTTTATGAAGTACCTACCAATTGTTTTGTCTTGTTAAATGTTAAAAAATTTAAGAAACAATTTCTTGTGTCTCGATATATCATTACTAATATTAGTTCAAAATTTTAAAAACGTATGGTCGTCATTTTATACCTTTATGAGCGAACATTTCTAGTTAATACATTGTAATACAGACCCAATAATTTTAACAAAAATGTGTACATGACAGTCCTCATGTTGTATGTACAATGAGTATTTATATCAATATCATTATATTATTTAGTATTAAATATTTATACATTTAAAATAGTATACACTTTGACTTTGTACTGGGAGATTACTAAAAAGTTAGACTTCACGGTTAAGGTTTGCTGGTGATAATGTAAGTTTTGTCTCCATTTCTATAATTTTTTTTTTTTAAATTATTTTAGTCAATAATACAAAAGGACTATAATTTTGGCATTGATAGTAATAACAACAACAAAATATAAAAAAGAACCAATCATTGTATTTTATTACATCAACAAAGTACTTATTTAAGTACTACAATACTGTGAAACAAATTTAAAATTTTCTTTTCATAGTATATGGTTTAACAGCTATTACATAGAAAATGTACCCAAAGTAAATGCGCTATGACAAAAAAAAAAAAATACATGCTTTCATTCATGAATATTATAATATGCCAATTATATTAAAATAATAATAACTAAAGGTCAAAAAAAAAAATTAATAATAATAATAACAAAAGAAAAAAATCATATATACAATAATTTAACAAATTTAGCTAAAACAATAAGGGAATTAGGAAGTTCTTTGATTAAAAAACAAAATATGAACATAAATGATGAAATAAAAGCATTGATTATACATAGTTAATAGTTTATGTATAATTAATGATAGTGATCAAAAAAATTTTTTATTTACAAACTATTTTACCTTAGAACAATTCTTTAAATAATAATCATTGTAAACATACATTATTATTATTTATTATTATATGGTAACAAACATCATATTATATTTATGATGAGATTTGCTAAAAAAAAATTTACATCAATGAAGGCACAAGAAATTGCATTTTGCAGTTTGACCCAAGTTTACTTTGTTACGTACAAAAAAAAAAAAAAATACAAGACAAATAATAACATTTATTATATTATAAATTAAACTTGGTCTTTTGACTAGCTTAACAAATCAGATTAAATTTTCCGTTTGAAAAATAAAACAATGATTATTACTTTGATCTAGGAATTACAATATTAGTTTTCCAATAAGTTATATATGGGTAAACATAGTAAATTTTTACAGCATTTAAAGACAAAGTAGTTTCATAAAACATTATAAGACACATTCTGTAGTCGGATACATGTCTATGTAAATATTATATATTTTATATTTTTATTTCATTTTTACACTTTTATTATTAAAAATTTACTTTTAGTATATACATTGTTAAGACTTGAAATGTCTTTATCACAAAGTCTAGTAGAAAAAAATCCCTGTCAGTCAATTATCACGTATGGTAGTATGACAAGCGGTTCACCAGTATCGTTTGCCCTAGTTAAGACCTCGTGCCACTCTCTAAACGTTTCACTGTTTTCCCAATTACCAGTAACGCCTTCTATTTGAGCTCTGTCTACCAAATCAGTAGGCGACAGAGGGGGCCGTGGAGGTGATGGTGGAGGTGAACTCCAGTCTATGGCTTCTAAGTCCAGAGGAGGTAATCTATTATATATTTCCTGTATTTCACGGTCGATGTCTGCAACTTTAGGTCGACTAGGTTTATCAACTTTTGTTATAGACGGTTCGTCCTGGAACTCTTGTACAGGTATTTGTGGTTTTTCCTCTAACTGATAATTTTCATCATCCTTCCGTAATGATGCAATTATTTCTTGGGTGGTTTTCAATTTACTGGCTCCGACGCTCACCATTCTTTCCAAATCCACAGGATTGGTAGGTTTTATCCCCAGTTTTGAGGAATTTTTGCCCCCTTTTTTACGGCCACGTTTTTTGGGGCCCTGTAGTTCTAAAATAGGATCAGGTTCTGGGTTGAGCTCACTAACCGGACTAGGTACTGGTTCTGGTATTTTTTGAACTGGTGGTGACTTAATGGCTGAGCTCAGAGAAGGCATTCCATTTAATTTTGGTTTCTATGTAATAAAAATAATAATCATATAACTAAAATATTGAAATACAAATTTTATGATTGGTTGCATACTTTAAGAGGAGCTGTACATTGATCGGGTGAAGTCATAGGTCTTTTACTATGGTTGCTAAGCATGCCATTGGGCTGTGAGGAAGGAAGCTTAGCTTGTTGTATGACTTGAGCACTATTTATCATTAGGTTACGCCATCTCTGTACAAGCTCCTTTGCACGTTTGGCCAACTGTTTGTCCAAAGTTTTACGTCGTAATTCATTAACCATTTTACCAATACGAGTTGCCTAATAAACACAAACATAAGTATTGTAAATCAAGGAGATGACCAATAATAGTTTAAGTCAGTAATATAAAATTAGGTAACACCCACTAAGTATACAAATATCACACTTTTTGAATTTGAATATATATAATACAACATTTATGTACTTAAATATTTTAAGCAAGAAAAAAAAAATTATAAATGTAAAAAAATAACCCTAGTTCAGATTATTATTTATTTTACTCTGTATTAATTTATTACATGAACAATATAAATCTATTCTATAAAATGTAAGGACTTAAAAGTTTGAAAAAATAAAATAATCAAACAACTCTCCCTATACTTTAAGACTAATAATATGTGATATGTGTATACAAACTTAAAAATTATATTCTACAACTGATGAAAATAAAAATATTACCTCGAGCACCTCCGTGGTAACCGGTAGTTGTTCAAGGGTTGAAATAACCTCGAACACTGTAGACATGTCGGTAACCTGAAGCAATACATATTTATTAATATTTTATTAAAGTATGCATAGTACGTAATTATACACAGTACTAGTTATGACATTTTGATTTAGTAAAATACTACTTGGTTTTTTTTATTTAACAAGTAGAACTTTATTTTAGAACTTTAAAAACAAGTCAAGAGGATATAAAAATATTACACCATATCCAAGTGCTACGTTTATACATAAATAGAATGAATAATCTACATATGCAATATTATAATTAATATCGGAAAAAATTCTTCATCTTATATTCCCTAGGCCTTACAGCAACATTAATTATATTTATAAATATACCAACATTTATAAAAAAAGACAACTTTATCTTTGTTATTTTAAATGCTGGCTAAATTGTTCCCTAAATATATTATATAATCGCATAAAATATATGCTAATTAAATTTAATAGATAATATGAGGTATGAAAGATATTCGTTATGCTGTGGTTAATATCAGTAAAATAAAATTTTTAAATCCTTGTAGGGAAGGAAACATAAAATATATGTAATATATGCTTGTGGATTGAATAAGTGTTTTTAAATTAAATTAATAACTACAAGGAATCAGCATAATTTAATATATTGTTTTAACTTGAAAAGATACTTATTTGTACAAAATATATTTAACAATTTGTTACTCAAATGTTAGAACACAGGTACAGCAGTTATAAATTGAACTGACAATGATTAATTAAATTTTAATGTGACATATTATAGAATAAACAGAAGAAAAAGATATAAAGGAAATGGTGAAAATAATTTTTTGTATTGACAATTTAGGTTATGTTTATTTTTTCCAAAAACACATTATACACAACATAATAGTATTATAAAATGCAACTATATCGAAACTTAGTCATTAAAAATATATATTAAGAATAACAAATCTTAACATTTATACTATTATAAATATCATTAAACCTTCTAAATAATTTTAAGGTTAAAAATTTTTTTTTACAACAATTATGGCAAAATATAAACTATAGATAGTCAAATAGTTGAAGATTAATGGTTGTTATTGTTATGAGCTTAGGCATAAAGCTTAAGATAGTAATAAATAAATTAAAAAGTATGTAAGTATAGGTTGTAAATGACTTTTGATAGTCATTTTAATTTTATCACAGAAAAATAATCTATAATCAACTTATAAATATTTAAGTATTAAACTTGTGCCTACCTAACCCCTCAAGTACCAAAGAAATCAAAATTAAACCAGTTTTAAAATAATTGTCAACTTAATTATTGGCCTTATTTTATTTCAAATACAAATTAATAGTAAGTTCTTCAGTGTTCTATTTTAACATATTGAACATGCTGAAATTTAGTCACCAGAAAAACTGTTATACTATTAGTCAAATTATTCCGCTTCCTTGACCTAAAACGACCTAGATAGCTTTAAACGAAAATAAAAATAATGTCTGTAGGGTGAAAAAAATCGTTTAATATTGATAATCTGAACAACTTCGCAGCATTTACATTTAAATAAATAAAATTCATAATAAATTTGACTGGGGAGATAATTAATAATTAGTAAGAACAAAAACGATAGTAATAAAGCGAGTAAATAATTTAGAAAGTCATGCATTTAACAGCGACAACAAAAATAAATAATTTATGTCGAGAAGAATACGATGTGCATGTAGTTGGGGTCGATGTTAAAAATTACATCGATTATATGTTGGGTGGGGTAGTAATATTTTTGGAGGAAATAACTGGAGACGAAAATCGTAATAGTATAATGTAGGGGACCTAAGCGCTATACATTGGCTTTTGGCATTAAGTGCCGCCTAGAGTACCGCGGGACGTTTGTGAAAATCGGCGTTTCCGGGGCGGTGACGTGATGGTAGCGACATCGGCATATTTACGAAACGCGTGTACATTTTCCCAGGCATATTCCTTGGCAACGGCCCTCGTAGTCGATCAAACACGCAGGGCCGATGAGAAACGATCGAAAACAAAATTAAAAACCCAAAAACGATTAGATTTATATCGAGGGTCTCTACGAAAATTAAAACCACGTTGTGGGGCAAGAGAAGAGGGAGATGGTTCATTATTAAAAAAAGTTGGAAAATGAAAAATATAAAAAGACAACGGTCGGACGGGGGACAACATCTGCTGGCGGATAAATATTATATAATAATATTACTACTATTACAAAGTGGAACAAGACGCGATCGCGAATAACGCTAACGCTAACGGAAGAAAATCGCAGAAACGCCAGAAACCCAGAAAGACGCGCACGAGAAAGGAACGCCGTAGAGCGCGCATGCGCAGTGCCGACGTTCCGCAGGCCACGGCTCGACCGGACGAAATGTCATCAGTGTGGCGCGGCGGCGTACGGTACGTCCGCCGTCGTCGACAACCTATTTTCGGCCATTGTACACACGACAAACGCACCGCCGGCCCCGCAACCGTAATAAGTACACGCACACACGCGCGCGCGCGCACATGCACATACACACACACACACACATAACCTCGCGGACGTACGGCGCGCCACACGGCCGTGGCAGTCAGTCGGCGGCGGAAAATCGGTTTACGTTTACGCACACGCACACGCGCCGGCGGACGGACGACGGCAGTCGGCGGGGGTCCTGGCGGCCGCACGCCAGTCGTCGACGGACGTAATATCGCGGACGGACGACTACGGGGGAAACCGGAGACGTCGACAGCGATGACAGGGCCGCTGTCGGTCGCACTCACGTTTTCTCCCGTCGTCGGCCGACCGCGATTAACGATGATTTTATTAATAACAACGGCGACGACGACGACGACGATCGGTACGCGCCACCGCGTAAACCACGGAAAAAGACGACCACGAACGGTACTCGTAACAACATGTAAATATCGTGTTCCAATAATAATAAAAAATCAAAAGTTAAAAATAATAAAATAATAAGGGAGTTTGTAAAAATAATATAGTCTTACATTGTATTCATCGTCCAATGCGCTCAATAACCTATGTTTTATGTCGAAAAAAGTCTTCTGCATGAGGCCCTATTCGGTCTCAGTTCGGAGAGCACGTCGGCCCACATCAGCACGCACAGCACAACTTACAGTGATGGCGGACGTGCACTGAGGGCCGCCGCTGGCTCCCGAGCCGCAGTAACGGCGATTGGCGGCGGTCGGCACACGAAAGCAACCAGGCTACGCGGACGGCACGGCCCGACGGCGAGCGGCGCTCGCCGACCGTAGCCGAACCACCGATCAGATGTTGCCGCGCCCGCAGCGCGAACCGATCCGCAACGTTCAGTCCGCAGCCTGTAGCGTGGCCCGCCCGTAAGCTTTCTAGAACGTTCCGCGGTCAGCGGTTCGATACGACGCACGTAGTCGAAAATCCTCATATTGGTTTCCGGAAAACATTGTAACACCGATTGCTTCCTTCCGCAATTTGGCAATGTCGCTTCGTCGTCCAATTGTCCAATCACGACAGCTACTGATAACGTAAATATTAAATGCCTTATCGTTATCAAGTATCAACACTCAACAGTAGTACAGTACTCACTGCTGGATGTTCCCAGCGACTCCCAACTTGTCGTGGAAACGGGAAATATTATTATAATATTGTATAATATTTATCTAATATGTATTATGATTTTACTTTTTTAGCGGCGATGGTAAACGTCCCAGTGGTGCGTGTCTTGGACAGGTGTTGGTTCTGAAAGGTTAACCGCTGTACAAACCACCCTCGCACGTGGTTTTTTTTCTGATACATTTTTGGGTTTTCTACCATGGTGGCTATGAAATATAAGTAAACTACTAACCTGAAATTTAAAAATGAAAATTTGATAAATCCTTAACAAATTCTTGTTCACTAATTCAATTACATTTTGTACTCGATTTTTAATGTAATTATTGACTAAAGAACATTCATGTGTTTTTTTTATTTGGATGAACTTTCCATAAATAATAGCCAATAGGTATATCTAGGTACTTAATATAATGCTCTATTGCTGTGTACGTTTTATACAAAAATTATTGACCTACTTTAAATCGGCTATTACCATAACTGTAGGCTAATAATTTCATTAGTCCTTCTTTAAAATAGAATTTAAAGATTATACAACAATTAACAACATACCTATCTAACATAATGTTATAATACATTTCAATACTTCATACGTGGATAAGTCCCATCTTAAGAGCCACGTAGACAAATACAGATGAATATATGTATAAATATAATTATGCTATTGAAAAAGAAGTTTTAGTGTGAACTAATCTGAATAATAACAATATTGTTTCTAAGCAATTATTATATTTATGTCCCGAGTTCCAGACCAAGAAACATGTTTCTGATATTGTCGTCGAAAAATATTTGTGTAACCGCTTTTATGACGGGAAGTCGGAAACATTGTCAACGACAATGCCAGAAACACGTGTTTCGACAATTTTTTTGGGGTGTTTGGTCGGGGCTTCATGTATAATACACATGATGTATTGATTTATCATTGAAAAAAAATAGTGACCATAAAATAGTACACATCATGATATCATATAATATTACTAAAATGTTTTGATTTACTATGATTAAGACTATAACAGGCATTTAAACCTAGTCTACCAGTTAGGTACAACTGGGATAATACATCTATGTATTGTAGGTACTAGGTCGGTATGTTTTACGTACATTTTCTCAAAATCGATATTTTCAACAGTTTAGTGTCAATTTTCCATTTCTTTTACTGTAAAAATTTTAAGATTTAAATGTTATTGTGTTATATTAAATTTTGTATGTAAAAATGATTTAGTTTTAAGTTTGAAATGTTTATACTTAGTAACACCGTTTTTATTATTTAGCTACACAAATGATTATAGCATATAAGCCTATAGGTACTACTTTCTGCTACTTAAGTGTAAGTTAATCTATGTGGATAGGTTAATTGTAGATAACATTATTATTAATAAAAAAAATATTTGGTACAAATTTAAAATTTACAAATACCTACTCATTTATTTCCATCATAAATTATTCGAAAAACTTTTTTTTTCAATTTTATGTGAAAATGATTGAGATTTAATGATGACTAACTACATTTATTATTAAAGATTTGTGTTTTGTATAGATTATTTACTGCTTTTATAAAATTATAAATTGTCATTTCTAAAAAAAATAATAATAATATTCCTTGCATAATATTATATTATACGTTATAGTGTGTGTAAAAACTAAAAATCTTCTCTTGTTAAATTATTCGGGATATATTTCTAACTTCTAAATATTAATTTTAATATTGTGTTTATGCTTTATATTATGGCACGTTAATCGTATACTCATAAATCATAATATATTAATATACAGTAATAAGTTATAACCACGGTTGTAGAATAGACAACCGTGGTAATATAACTAATAGTAGCTAAGGTAGAGTAAGAAGCGGGGCACCATAGTTGTGTCTCGTGAAAATGGTATACACGAATTGCGTCCCACTAAATTTGTTACACTCTGTTCGCCGAGAGACCAGGACCGTTTCGGCTGTCTCGAGCATACGACTGACGGAAATACGGGCACTCCGTCAAACATACCCTCTCTATACGACTAAAACTATATTGTATACGTAGTGAATTAAAATAAACGTTCGTATTGGCCGTTATAATAATATGCTACGTATTATACCAATGATATTAATGTAATAATATTTTATTATAAAGTACATACAACATATTTTTTAAATTAATTATTTAAAAAATATCACGGAACGCTATCGAACATATAAATTGACATCACTACTAAAAAACATGATGCTGTATGCATGGTCCGAATTCTGAGCAGCTGGCGGTCGGCAGGTGGCGCGTAGCCATAACGAGTAAAACTGTAAAAGTGGTGGGAACTGGGGATCGACGAGTTTTCGTCCACCGCGCAGTCCTGGACTCTCGGCGAACAAGAGTATAGGTAGTGGGATTATTATTTGGTTTTCAGGGATTCTCCTTGGTGTATTAATTATGAGGGAGCCTGGACTCAATATTATGTTGATAAGATTATTAATAAGCAATAATAAGCAAGTTCACCATAGTTTGTTATGACTTATGAACCTCACGGTTCCCATCCCTATCGTAAATAAAAAAGGTTAATATTATACACAATCCCTAATTGCCTTCGATGATCAGATCCAGATTATACTGATTGCGGACTTATATTCAGCATAATACATGCTCTATAGTCTATAAGTATGATTTATGAACACAAGTAAACTTGAAATTTATTGAAGGAGAATTTGGAAATATATATTTGAGCAGGCACGTCACCAAAGGAGGGGGGCTTAGAAGGCCCTAAGAAAAATCAATGGTCCCAGACTGACCCCCTCAATTTTATTTTTAAATATTATGGCCGACTGCAGTAGTGCAGTGATTAAATACGAGTAAACGAATTTAATCCTAGTGTATATTAAGTATTAACTAAAACTAACCAACTGTAGATGAGTTGCTTCTTGACATATTCTAAATTTTATCTTAAACGAAAATGGTCTAGTACTAGTTGGCTTCCAATTCCAATGGGCAGGTATTAACTGTGTAAATGGTTCCTTAACGATTCAAACATTTCATAAATATATTTTATCGACTAATTTACTATATCATTATTTGTAATAGTTGTGTATTACTTGTATAAATGTAGGTTTATGTATATCTTAAATATATTAAATTATATCTTGATATTTTTTTATTGTATAGGCGTATCTAGGGGTGGCTCGGAAGACTTAGCCTCCCCCCCTAAAAAAAAATACTATTGTTTATTTAGTTCAGGTAAATGTAATTGTGCTTATCATATATTGAACTTGACGGGGTTGATGACAATATAATATATTAATACCAACTAATATTATTACTTTTGTACCCAATTATAATACATCATAATCGTGTTTCATATCAGAACATAATAAATAATAGCACCGACGGAACGCTACATTGAAAATGTACCTGATTAGTGGGGCTTCAGCCTCCAGAATATATTTGATCACCATTCGCGGCTACGAGGTTACGCCTATGTAGTGCAGCGTATACCTAATAAATATCTAAAAAAAAATGAATTAAGCAATTTAATTGTTTTAGTATGTTGTTCTTCCTATACCTGCTTAATACTTATAATAAAATAGAAAAAATGTATTATACCTATAAGACTAGTGTTTATTATTATTATGTAACATACTATGTAAACATAAATGCATCTATTTACGTGGAATATTTTAATGAAATTTATGAACCACTATAGGTACTTTATTCTATTAGACTAGTGTGATTGTGTGAACATTTTTGGGAGGCAACTCCATAGACATTGTCCGTAATTTTAGATGGGGTTGATATTTAAAAACACTTTATTTCATATCACAGTCGCTCCTTGCATTTGCCAAACTGATCTTACCTTACGGACCATCATGCGAAATCTGAGTGTGATTTATTTTAACCATCTTGTATTATATATAATTACGAGTATGTAATAGTATGTTTGTGTATTAGGCATATTATTAGCATTTGAGAACTATTTTGCTTTAAAGTGATAAGAAAGATTTATTCACATGTAGGTAAATTGTTAATGACCTTAGATCATATACTAGTATATGATCTAAGGCAGGGGTCTCAAACTCAAATTACCTACGGGCCATATATATTTACTTCACAGGTTTGCGGGCCAAACACTTTTTTTTACTCAGTTTAATAATAAATCTAAAATAAACAAAATAAATTAAGGAAAGATGTAATTATTTTATTGATTATAATTCTAACAAAGATGTACATTGTACAGTGTCTTGATTTTTTGTTTAGTAGTAATAATAGTTTCTTTTTATTTTCGAGCTGCACTTGATACTTGACATCTCTTATTTTGTACCAAACTGTCTATATTTGCACAAGAACTTCTGGATGCCAAATGTAGAACAGATTGCAATTTTAAATTGGAAATTTGATTGCGGCTTTTTGATTTATTCAACTTCATGAGGGAAAATAATTGTTCACATACATACGTGCTACCAAACATGGATAATATGTAACAAAAATGTTTTTGCAGTTTTGGATAATTGTTTTCAAGGTATTTAAACAATTCAGGAATTCCAACAGTTTCAAATTTTGTTTTTAAATTAGTATTACATTGCAAATCTATTAATTCTAGTTGGAGATCTTCCCTTACATTTTCAACATTTATGGAAAATGGCTCACTAAAAAGTAAAAAATCGTCTTTATACTTTTGGAAATCTACAAATCTACACTGAAATTCGTCTTTTAGAAATAAAATATGTGAAATAAATTTTTTTCCATCATTATTTTCTGTAGATACCTGTTTTAATGTAGGAAAGTGTACCAAATTATTTGATACAAGTTGAGTTTCCCATAATTTAAGTTTCATAGTAAATGATTGAATCGAATCGCACATATTTGTGATAACTTTATTTTTTCCTTGTAATTGTACGTTAAGAACATTTAGGTGTGTAGTAATATCAACAAGGAAAGCTAAATCTTTAATCCAATCAATATTATTCAGTTCCGAAACAATTTTATTTTTAGATATCATAAAACAATTAATTTCTTTTAATAAATTGAAAAATCTTTGTAGCACTGCTCCACGACTAAGCCATCTCACTTCACTATGATATATCAAACAACCATACTGAGCATCCATTTCCTCAAGTAGTGCACTAAATTGTCTATTATTCAATGCATGAGATCTAATCCAATTAACAGTTTTAATGACTATATTCATAACATGTTCCATTTTCAATTTTTTCGAACATAAGGATTCTTGGTGAATGATGCAGTGAAAACTTTTCAATTCTACACCATAAGTCAAGGCTTTTGATTTTAGTCTAGAAACCAATCCCGCTTTTACACCTAACATTGCGGGAGCACCATCAGTAGTTATACTTGAAAATGTTTTCCAATCTACTTCTAATTCATTAAGACATTTCTCCACACAATTATATAAATCACTTCCTGTTGTAGTGTCAGTCATAGGAATTAAATCTAAGAGCTCTTCTGTTACATCAAAATTATCAAAAACTCCACGGATAAAAATAGCCAACTGTGCTGTATTTGTAATATCGGTACTTTCATCAATAGCAATAGAAAAATTTAAAAAATTCTTACTTTTTTCATGTAATTGTTGTTTAACATTACTTGCCATTTCTTCAATTCTTTGAGCAATAGTATTTCCACTTAAACTTATATTTAAAAATGCTTGTTTTTTTTCGGGACATATAACTTCCACCGCACTAACAATACACTCTTTAATGAACTCGCCATCACTAAACGGTTTTGAAGCACGAGCAATTTTTTCTGCTATGATATAACTACATTTAACTGATTCGATATTTTCTTTTCTTATATTATCAAACAATTTTGTTTGATGTAAAAGACTTTTTTTTAATTCTTCAAATTTTTCTTCACGTAACTTTCCAACAAATTTATCGTAAATCTTACCATGATTAGTGTCGTAATGTCTTTTAATGTTATACTCTTTGATGACTGATACACTTTGTTTACATATTAAACATATAGGAACAGAATTACAACTGGTAAAAAAATATGCATAGCCCCATTTTTCTTGAAAAATACGTCCTTCTTGACCGATTTTACGTTTAACACTTGACATTTTATTGAACGAGTAGCGCACACAAACTACATTCACGAACTGAGTATAATAAGAACCCGTACCTACACGTAATACACGTTAAATAATAACACTTATCTTAATAGATTATTTTTATCGCATTGTGCTTATCATGATCGAATTAAATTATTTTGGGAAATTCCTATTACGAATGTATAAAACAAAAAAATCAAACAATTTTTGAAGAAATAAATATTTATTGCGGGCCACATCAAAAGGGGTTGCGGGCCGCATGTGGCCCGCGGGCCGCGTGTTTGAGACCACTGATCTAAGGTAATGACTAATAATATTATATGATGAGTATACATTATACATTTATACAGGCATTTATTTTGGTATAGTGGATGATAGGAAAAATAACGAAAAATCTGTACTTAATGAATTTATTAAATCATAGTTTAATCCAGTGGCGTCATTTGGGTGGAGAAAGGTGGGGGGCTAGCAATGTGGGTTTTGCCCCTGTCTGATTTTTAAAAGTAGCAAAGTTTGCCCGTTTGTTTTCGTTTAACCATTAATCATTATTATATTTAATTAACACAAAAACATGTTTATTTTTATAATATTTTGAGAAAATATAATATTGTATACCTATTATAGAAATGATTGTCGCAATGAAAAATTATTGGCACCTAATAAATATTTAATATTTATTAGTTAATAGTTGGAATATATTTATATTCAGTCGCATGCTAGGACGTGCATGAAAGTTTGTATGTATGTGTGAGTACTGTGAGTGTGTGTGTGTGTTTTGCGAAGGAAAAGGAACATAATACCATTATGTATAGTATGTACAACAATAATAATAATAATTTATTATCATAATCTCATATGGTTTTATTTTTAAATCTAAATGTAATACAAAATTTAAAAGAAACAACTTATTGGCACTCTTATTTATCATCGTCTTTTGATTTTAGACTTTAGCTAATACTTTATGACTGTCGTGTTATGTGTACTATTTACTATTGTGTTGAATTTAGTTTAATGCATTAAAATTAAATCTTTTCTTGAGTTTCATTAATTTTTTTACATGGACAACTGTCTTAAAAAAAAATAGATGGTGCAGCCAAAAACAGACTTGGCAAAAAAATTTAAGTTACTGCAAATTGATCAAGAATCGATGGAAACTTGATCAGTTAGCAAGCAAAATAATAACATATAATTATAACTTCAAATAATATTAGCTTACAACATTTTTGAAAAAAACTGTTTATATATTAAAGAATAACCCATTTCCGTAGAACTTTGTTTGAAATTTAATCTTGTTTAAATTTTAAAAGTTGAACATTTTATAAAATTTGAACTTCTAATGCTTGTAAAACAAAATCGTGCCTTTGTGTATTTTGAATATGTTTCAACTGCTATTAGAACAATATATCAGGAGCCTTGTATTAAATTTTAAAGTTTTTTGACCAATTAATACAATTTTATTGAAATGTATAGAAAAAATAACTACAAAAATTAAATTGAAACAGTTGTCCGTAAACAGCTCAAAAGAAGTCGAAATATTTGGAAATTGTATCAAGTATATAAATTGATAAAATAACCATAATGATGTAAAATGTAAATCTCAAGTATCTACAGTTATTCGTTTTTGAATTACAACAAAATAAGAAAATCGCTACATGACAAATCGAGTGAATATCCAATGTTGTAAAAATGTCAACTTTAAAAGCTCATAAAAATTTTATTTGATTTTAAAGTAGGCATTTTTTTTTTTTGTTGATAAAGATAGACAAACCTAAAAGGAATCTTGTATTAAATATCATAACCTTAGATAAAAAAGAAAAATGTTTTTGAATTACTAACTTAAAATAATTTGCACACTTTCGTGATTTTTACGTACTTGGTCGAAATCCGAACCTTAAATACTTTGATTTCAAGACATAATTGTGCATTTGTATTTTTAATATTTTTCTTGATCCAATAAATAAAATTGTATTGACATTCATAAAAAAATAAATAAATAAATTGGAAACTGAAAATGTCTGTAAACAGCTCAAAACAAGTCAAAATATTTTGAAAATTGTATGGTGTTTAGAAAATGCTAATATAAATATTCAGTGAAAATGTATGTAGGTGTATGTTTATGTATATTATTATCATAGGGTTATTTAAGATAAACATCAAAAACCAAAATCCATTTTGTCAAAAACTGGTTTTGCGTAAAAATTTCCGTTATTCCTTAATCCTTATTATTAGAACTTAAACCTACTGGAAATTTTAAATTTTGACCTTCTCAATGCACCAATTAGATTCACTTTCCCATTAAACAAGATACTGAGGTTGAATATTGAAGCATTATATTGTATACGCAGACACGAAAAAAAAAACACATCATTGTAAAATTTATAAATTCATCGCTCCACTTAGAATCTAAAAGAAACTTTATTAATAAATTAGTATAAATATTATTTACTCATATTTTATATTTGATGGACCATAAATAATATCCAACGAATTATTTAATGAGTTTATTAAATACGATTATTGCCATAACATGAATAATGTTGAGCTCGTGAAGTTGGCCCTTCAACTATGTTCAAATATTTCATTGAGTATTTACGCCACTGAACGGAACAATGATACAGACAGTACAGACAGTAAAAATTATGTTTAACTATAATATAATGTATTAATGTAATATAAATAAATAATACCTTTAACAATAAAATACATGTTACACTACATTAATAGTTTCAAATAACTTCTAACGTTGGATTTGGTAAAATTTACCAGTTATAAATTAAAATATTATGTTATTGACTTTCCTAGATTTATAAAATAATTAAAATAATTGAATGTTTGATAAATTAAGGCGTCGCTCTAATTCGCTGTTTGTTCATAAGCAGATATCATAGTAATATTTATATATTTTTTTATTCGTTATTCAATTCGTCCTAGTCAGTTGTAGTTTTCTCATACTAACCGATGCGGTATACCATATTTTTTTTAGTCGGCGATCGGAGAGTGAAAAACGCTCAACAAGCGCGAAAATGATGTGACACCTCGATTCATTTGAGAATTTTGAAAAAAATACAACTTGAGTATTTATTTTTACATTGAAGATGATCTACTTAAACAAAATTGAATAAGCCCAGATTTTGAAGATAGAAAAAAAATTCAAAAAAATCTTCATAGGGTCATCAGTCATCACACTGAGTGCGCAATTATACTAGTTACCTCATGCATTTCACGAACACTCTGTATACAGAAATATAATTTATAGTATTTTATTTATTGGGATTTGGGATAATAATATATAATGGTGACAAAAATATCATACATTTCCTAAACTGACACATAGGTAGTATTCATTTACGAGAAGTTTTAGTGAGCCCCATGCCCTCATGAGGGGTTGCAAATTCCAATACTATATAGTAGTGGCATAGAACAATAGGTAGTGGAGTTGAAAGTGATAAGTTAATAGTTATGAAGTCATCACAGATGTATGGAATAATATTATATACTATTCTATACTATTCATAAACTCACAACGACTGCCGTTTGATTTGTAATTTCTGTTGTCATTAATTCATTAATTGTTCACGGGTGAATATTGTTGTATAATTTTTAAGGTTTAGCTTTTGACATCACTGTTAAACATATCTGATACAAATCAAGACGTGATAACTGATAAGTGATAACACAATGATATCTTTATTCATTAATAATTTCACAATGTTGTGAATTCATAATATTCGTGTTATTCTGTTATTGACTATAGGTAATTGAGCAAATGAATGTTTAATGCTATTTTTGTACCTCTGCAGTCTGCAGTGAGATATTGTGCAAACTGCTGCCAATGCGTCAACCAATAATAATTAAAAAATGAATTTATAGATCATATTATAGTATAACATGGCCGGACGTATAGCCTCAGCCTCAATAAGGGCAGTAGTTGGAATCAAGAAACCTATTAAGGCTGCTCTCACCTTGGTTAGTATAACATCAAATACCATTGTTTCAAAATAAAATATTATATTGTATTATGTATTTTTGCAGACACCATCAGCCGTTGATCAACTGAAAAAGATACTGTCCGGAAAATCAGATTGTGTTAGTATGCATTTATAGTTATGTTCACACATTTATTGTCATTATTATTTTTCCTATTTTCAAGTTGTTAAAATATTACAGATTGGTCTTAAAATCGGTGTTAAACAACGGGGATGCAATGGTCTAAGTTATACTCTAGATTATGCTAATGAAAAACATAAATTAGATGAAGAAGTTGTACAAGATGGTAAATAATTAAAATAATATTATAATAATATGCTTCATTATTCTTTGAGAAATTTTGAATTGGTTAAGATTTAGGAAAATTTATCCTATTTGCTAAGTGTACTGTTTATATTATGGCCATAGATTAATCTATTTATACACTTTACATACCTATCTACATGAATATTTTTTTTTTTAGGAATACGGGTGTTTATTGATAGAAAAGCTCAGTTGACGTTACTTGGAACCGAAATGGACTTTGTTCAGTCCAAATTATCTTCAGAATTTGTTTTTTATAATCCAAACATTAAAGGAACTTGTGGGTGTGGTGAAAGTTTTAACATCTAAACTTAAAAAGTGAGTTATATGAAGCATTTTGAAATAAACATTGTCTTTTAGATAAATATATTTTATTATCATAGTTATGAAAAAGTATAATAGCTATTTTAAATCTAAATGTTGATGAATAATACAATAAGCATATATATGTATATAAATATTAAAAGATGTAAATGATAATAATTCACTCATGAAATAAGCTCTAAATGTATTAATATTTATCATCGAGTGTTGCAATAAAAAAAAAATACATACACATATAATTTATTTTGATTTTAAAACATGAATGTTATAGTACAATAAAATTAATTTAAAAAAAAATAATCACAGTTATGATAATTTTGGTTGTTGTTTAAGTTCAGTGATATTGAGTATTTTTGAAGGGGTTTTATTTTTACGCGATGATTTTTTCTTTTTGTTCAATCCTTCTGTAGCCAATTTTTGATGTGGTTTTTCTAAAAAAAAAAAAATAGTTTATTAATTAGCAATATTTAAGTTACAGCATTGATTTTAGATTGCAAGGTTGACCTTTGTTAAAGAGTTGCTTGGAAACCATATTATTATCTTACTACCTCTCCTCAATTAAACAACAAACTCATTTAATCCATTCAATATTTTGGTCCCCTTTTAATAACTCAAATCAAATTGGCTGCCTTTTTTGATGTTGTTATACAAGGTGCCCTATGTATTCTAAATGTACTGATTTTTGATTTTCATACTTTAGAACTATAAAACTTACAAATAATTATAAACTATTAAGTTAATAACTAGGTAACACTTAGTTCAGAAAACAAATTTCCGCATTGACAGGTGACCCAAGTCAGTTCAGTATGTGCAAGGCTACACAATGTATTTATTTTTTGGCTAAAATTCTGGTCGGACATAAAGAGCTTCCAGGTTTAACTGGTTTTTAAAAAAAAAAGATCAAATTTTTCTTGCTTAAGACATGGTTCATAATTCATATTAAATATTGTTGTCTTAGTCTTAAAAAATTAGATGCAATTTATGTTGATGTTAAATTTGGCAACGGGCGACCCAAGTGTTGCCAAATAAATAACATAGTTTAGATTGCTAGCAACCCAAGTGGCTTTGCAATAAAAAACAAAATTTGTCAATGTATTATAGTATTAGGTATATAGATTGGTTATTATTCATTAATTAAACTATATTTTTTGAGAAGAATGTATGTGTAATTCAACTTCTAGTGCCTTATAGTATAGTCTTCTATTTATTTGTATGTTTGTTTAAAATTGATTTAATTAGGACATGGGGCAATAAACGCAGCCATGATAAACTAGTTATTAAATTTCAATCACCAGAGAATACGTAATATGACCTGTATTTTTCACATGTTTTGTTTTGTTTTTGTCAAATTTACACGCCATTTAAAGTAAATATTTTGTTTATTTTATAGAAATAATTGGTTTTAATAATTTTTTGTAGTTTAAGTAACAACAGTTAAATAATATGTACATATTGTTTTGATCACGTCATAACAGATTTTGTTAGTTAGATTGGACCTAGAAGTTAATTGACTCTTTATACTAGACTTGGAGAAATCTATAATTGAATTTTCTTTAGTAGTAGTCATATTGCAGTTATTTGCTAATATATTGCATTGCTATTGGCCAGTATATTTTCTACATTTACTACATTAAATATTGTTTAATTAATTCTGGGTTATAATATTATCATTTAATAATGACTTAATTTATTATATATGTAACTCGTATTACACGAAATGATCAAATTTAAAGACAAAAACATACTCCTGGGTTTCTAGTTTGTTTTGTTTGATATTTTAAACTCGAATAAGAAGATAAAATGTATTAATTTTCAAATGTTAATTATTACTATACGTCTATACTACAATAAATAATACTGGAAGAATGCTAACTTCTTTGTTTATTCAATTATATACATTTGTTTTTGTCATAAAATAAAAACCTGAATTAAAAATAATATGATACATGTATTATACTTAATTGAATAGATACCTGAAGTATAGGTTTTTTCAGGTGCAATCAGATGATATCTTTCCATATAATGTAGGGTTGAAATAGAATAGTTATTTGGAGATTTCATAGTAGGCTGTGTTGTTGGCACAAAATGTTTATTCATATCAACTGAAATAAGAATAAATCAAATAAATGTATTATTCTTTTAATTTTATTTATGTAAATATATATATTAATCAAATAAAATATTATCTATAAAATAAGTATATTAAAGGCAGGATAACTTAACATGTTTTTGTGTATATGTTAGCGTTAATGTATGAAATTCTGTAATTCTACAAAAACAACTAGTTATTCTATAGAATTACGGGTACTTTCACAGTATATGTAATAGAATGAATCCATAAACACATACTTCAACTAGTTATCCTACACACTAACTACTATTTTATTTGCATTATTTTTAGTACAAATTACAAAAAAAATCAGAATTAGAATTATTAAATTCTTAAACAAATTATACAAATAAAAAAAAAAAAATCAATAGTTATCAATAGTTTTTTTATAATAGAATTATTAACTTATTTTATTATTATAGTTACTATTATTAAATTGTTANAACTACTATTTTATTTGCATTATTTTTAGTACAAATTACAAAAAAAATCAGAATTAGAATTATTAAATTCTTAAATAAATTATACAAATAAAAAAAAAAAAATCAATAGTTATCAATAGTTTTTTTATAATATAATTATTAACTTATTTTATTATTATAGTTACTATTATTAAATTGTTATTTTTTCTACAATTTAGAATTTATTTATTAGTACATGAACTTTTTGGATTGCATTTCAAGTTACAAATTAAATTACTTTTTAAACATATGCTCTGTTTTGTGGTGCACTTTTGTTGGCATATCTACCTAACAATATAAATTTCATACATTATCGAAAATCCAATCGGTATTCCATAAATTAACTAGTAAAACCGTGTAATTTATATATTAACGAGTATATTTAGGCATTTTATAGGATAACTAGTTATTTAATAAAATAATGTACTACACACATTACCACTAACATATACACTGTACATTCATGACATGTTTTACAAGCTAGTTGCAATGTAGTGAAAATTTAGGTAATAAAATAAAAAATATATGTATTTTTTGTTTTTTAGGTTTCAAATAAGTTAATACAAAAGAAGAGAAGAAACCAGATTGGTATATAGTGAGTGGATGAATAGTCAATACCAATTACATAGTTTTATATTTCATTTAGATGCAGTAAACTTATATTATTGTTAATAATTTATGTGTTGTACTGTTACTATTTGACAATGTGAATTGTTATTTATTTAAATTATTTAAATTGTTGTTTGTTAAATATAAATGTATCTTATGACTTATGAGGAAACACAGAGATAATGACTTACATTTTACGGCTTGTTCAGGTGATAGATACTGCATGGCAAGTGCTTGCATCTGTAAGCTGGAATCTATTTTATTATTTTCAGGTAACCTAAAATGTTTGTATGGTTCAAAATTCCTAAAAGTTAAAAACTAAATCATTAAAATTATCTTAAGTCTTACAAATATTATCAGTGAAATCAAATGAAGCCTCTAAAGAGTAATGTATAATTTACTTTGGTGTAGTTGTTGCTAAAGGTTTAACACATTCTATTGGTTCACCTACATCGGATTTCCGTTCACTCATATTATCTTCAAGCAGGTTATTTACTTGTCCCTTTTTATAAAAAAATAAGCAATAATAACTATACATTTTCAAAAATCATTAACTATATAGGTAATAATTATAATTCTTTTAAAGAAAATTTAGAAATGTCTGCAGCTTACAATAATATTTTTATACATTGTCCACCCAACTTCAATTTTCTTGTCATTTTCTTCTTCACATTCACTACAGTTAGAAAAAAAGGATTAATTTTAAATTACTATTTATTACACAAATAAATTACCTATTTTCACTATCATCAGACGATGATTTCATATCAATGTGGATGGATTGTTCAGGAGATATTGGATCCTCAATCACTTGAACATCATTTGAATTTAAATCAAACGATTCATCACTAGAAAAAAAAATACACAATGTAATACATAGATCTTGAACTAAGGTAAATGAAGTAGATAATATGATGGTGGAAAAACATTTTTTTTTAGGTGGTTTATATGTGTAAAACATTCTTCATGTTTCTGGCATCATTTTTGTTATTATACAAACTACCTCAAGGCATAGTTGGTAATTTATCTATATTATATGTTTATTTTCTAGATGAGGTGATCACCAATTTTTTTTTATACATGTGTCGTACTAAAAAACCATAAGTTCTTTGTGGACCTAATTATACAAGCCATAGTTTGAAGACCCCTGTTGTATATAATCTAAAATATATACATAATAAACCATTTATAAGGCATGAGGCTATACAAATAATTAACCAAACATTTATTTTTATCCACTGTGATAGGTAAAAATGGATTGTTAAATAAATGTTTAAATTAACAGGATAGAAACAAATATTCTATGAAGGTACCTTATAATGGAGTATGTTCTTTCCTTCTCTTTTTTATTATCTTTTTCATCATTACTATTATCGCATCTAGTATTTACTAGAGTTTTTGGTGTTTCTTTTGTAACGGATGCGACATCTGGTTTACCCAAGGATTTACCAGAGGATTTAAAATTTTTATTTGATTCAATTTTTTTTTGTACAGTTTCAGTTTTTTTTAAATTGGTTTGTGGTTTTTCTGTATTGTTGTCGTTAGAATGTTGTGAAGGACATTCTTTTTCAGTTACATCTTTTTTAAAAACTTCTGTTGTTTGAGAATCATTATCTTTTTTACAATGACTATTTTCTGAGCAACAACATTTATGTTGGTTCTGCTGATTAGATAATACAGTTACTAATAGTTTTTGTATGGTTTCTAAAAGAAATTTCATTTGATCATTTTGTAATTGCATCATGTTGTAAATATCTTTGACGGTAGGTGTGTTCTGATAGGCACATTTGTGATACTCGCTACTAGATTTGTAGGAGATTTTGTCAGAAAAGCGACCGTAAGGGTTTTGATCACAATCACTGTATGACGAGGATCCATAATATTGCTTGTCCCGTGGTTCTTAGTAACGAGTTTCTTTATGTACTGGAGGTGAGCTATTTTGACGACTTTTCCATTCACTATATGTTTCATGAGAATTTTGACTGTTTGCATAATACGGTGAGTGTTTATTTAATGGCTTTGAACTATTTTCTGACGAATTAAATACAACTGATAGTTCTGGAACCTCAGGTTTGGCTGACAGTTCCTAAAAACATTAAAACATTTTAGTGAGGATAAAATACATTTTCTATACACAAAACCTCTTTAAGTGTTGGAAGCACATTGAAATAGATTTGATTTTGAAAAAAAGATTTACTTGGAACTGTGTGGGCTTGGGCGCCAGCCGAGGTTCGAGTTCATCATTACTAGTATTGGAGTACATCGAACGATAACAGTAGATAACAGTTGACTTAGTCGAGGTGGAAATCAGATAATTATGAAAATTCTGTTACGTTACTTTGTAAGCTTGTTCTAAATTGAAGTCTTTAGTATCGAGTATCGACTTAAGAACGAAAATGTTCAACACTTAAACGAACAATCAATACTTTAAATTTTAACTAGTCTATAATAAAATAATTGATAACGATTTTCCCGCTAAAATAATCTTTGTGTTCGTTAGTGATATCCCTTCCATGGTAAACTTTATATAATATTATTTATTTTTAATCAATATCACATTTTGATAACAATATTTTGATATTTCATTATTCATTTTTTATCGTGTACTGTTTACTGTATACTGTATCCTCGGTCCGTAGTGGCGCGGAGTGAGGAAGACTGTTATTTTACATTTTTACATACATTTAGCATTTTAGGGCTTTAGGCTTAATTAGCGGCCAACATGAAATTACTGTCCTCCTATTGCTAATCAATTTTTCTACTGAATTAAATTATTCTTTCCTTAAAGTTTTCATTGTTTAACGTAATTGTTATTACTAATTAGTCATTCAACCATGGCTAACAATGCATCTACAAATATAAATTGTCTATGCAATAAATCTAATTTTTCATTCTTATAATTAAAGTAAGTTGATATATAATACCTACTTATTTTGTCATTAAGTGTTATGTCATGTCTTTAAGTTTAAGCTTAGTTAGGTTTTCTAACAAATAGTTAAGTCAATTAATTATTAGTGTTTACACATTCACTGGTTTCAATGCCATAGCGCCACACTTAAGGTCAAATGAGGTAGTCAGGTTTACTTCCTAATTATGTAAAAAAACAGTTATGCACTTGCATTGAATCACTTAACTCTGATTAGTGGAAGAGGAATGATTCATTTTTAAAATTATGTATAAATAAATTTAGGAACATAATATTGAAACAAATTATAAGAAAATAGTTATATTATCATTGATTTTTAATTTACAGGACAAAGTTTTCTTTAGTTTTTTCCTTCCTATTTTAATTGTTTTAACAATATGGATGATGATGATGATAAAAAAGGGTAAGTTAATTCTTATTAAATTGTCTTAAATTTATTAAATGCTTGCTTAAACAGATGTATGTTTAATTACCTAAATAATGATTTGTATAGAAAGAAATAATTCGTTTTTTAATCAAGTTTTTACAGTTACTTAAGGCTGGGAAATTAAATTATTTCTTAATTATTTTGATAAGTTGCAATTTAGTTAATTTCAATTTATTTTTGTGAAGTCGAATAGTTGATATTTTAGGTTTGAATGGTTAAAAGATAATTAATTTAAACTAAAATAAAAAATTAAATTACATCTTAAATTTAAATATAATTGTGATCAGATAATAAGGTAATTGTTACATTTATATAAAAAAAAAAAATATATAATAATATATATAATAGTTATATAAGTAACAGTTATATAGTTATTGTATAGCATTTATGGTACATAAGTTACATAACAGTTTTTTTAATGAACTTGTATAGAAAAATGATATTACAGTTACAAGTCAACTAGAAAACTAATCAACTGGAAAAATAGCTTCTTTCTTAAAATATTTAACCTATCAACACCCCAGCCTTAGTCATTGTTATTGTATTTATTTGTAATTTGATCTTTATTCTTCACATTATTATTTTTTGATAATTGCACTACCTATTTTATTTCTTATTTTTTTTTATCAGTTTTGTTTTAATTATATAATTATTATGTACCGAATTTTTATATGATATGTGTTGATAGCTTTTTATGATCATATTTTACTTTATTTTGTGTTGGTCTCACTTTAAATTTAATTGAAAAGTAATCTATAAGTTATATATCAATATTATGTATCATAATTTTAATTTTTAATTTATTTATATTTTAACTACCTATTTATCTGTTATTTGTTGCAATGTCGGGTAATAACAATAGAGATAATATTGTTTTATTTATTATTTATAACCTTTACTGAATGATATTACTTATAATGATAATATAATCTACTAACTAATAAATAACGCCTATTTAAATTATTTTTTTTATCATAAATATGATATTAAAACATTATTCTACATACCTACCAATTTATTGTATTAATAAAATATTTAATATAGACACACTTTGTTTTATTTTGTTGGTAACACATATTCAATATTATTTGTAATTCAGTGTGCCATTTTTAGCAAGTTAATGCAATTAAAAACTAAAAATGCATTTTTATTGTAAGAATTTAAAAGTCTAAATAAATGTTACTAATAAGTTTTTTTAGTACCGGCTGACTGCTGTAGTGTATATATTTTTCATTTCGCATTTTTCATTGATTTTATTATGAGACAAATCTATAAAACTAAGGATGATGCAATATTGCAATTATATACTTAGTTGTGACCTTATAACTAGTCCACTAGGTAGGTACCCGAATAATGTTAGTGTAACAGTGTAGTTAAGAACTGAGTTGAATATTATCAATTAATTTAATGAGCTTGGAAAACATAAAAGTGTGAAAAGTTATTAGAATCAACTAAAATTTAACCCAACTTGTTCAATAAGTAGGTAGCTAGGTAGGTATTGACACATGAAAGAATCACGTTAGTAAATAGTCATAAACTATATTTTCTGTTTAAAAAGTATTTATTCCTAGAATAATTAAAAAAATTTATTTTAGATGGTATTATTCAGTTAGTTTGATATTTAAATGATAACTTTTTAATTTAATTAAAGTTTGTTTTGAACATAACAGATAACAAACTAAGAAATTATTGGTAGAAAATATCATTGATCACCTGTTATATTTTTATGCTATAATAATAACAATAATAATAATTAAAACAGCATTTATTTGATAATAAAGTAGTATAAATTGTAGATACATATTACAAAAATTAATAG